TCCTCCATTTTCATCGATGCTTTTTCTCGGGTCAACGGAGAACAATCGAAACGCGCATGCTAGGTCCCGGCCTTTCTTGGGTCCCGCGTGCCATATTCGGGACAGTTGCCGCATTTCTAGGGCAGTGTCATCGGGAATTCACGATCTATACCGCGGCCACATGAAATCATAGCAGTGAATGGGGTAACAATCACATGTTAACCTCTTTGGTCCATATGGGCCATGTGCCACCAAAGAGAAGGGCCGCCTCGAAGTCATCTGCTTCAGAACTCTGTGCCGCAAGATGTGGACCCTAGCAACCAAGGCTCGTCCCGTGCGCCGCATGCCAACTGGACCCACACCATGCATGCACGCGTGGCCAAGTAGACTCTCACCGGTCAGCCTTGACAATGTACACAAGACGCATGCGCACTCATTAGCCATCTAGCCCCCAGCCATGCACACCAAGCCAGCTTCACTCAAACCATGCACCGTTTGCCAGGTTCACCCACACCATCCATCCATTATGAACCTCACCTCGGTTCGTTGGACCTCCGACACAAGTCCCGTCCCTCGGCATGCCAGGTATGTCAAAGCAACACGCAACTACACATATTGCACACCGAGATACGACGTCATTCACTAGTGCCAACAAACCTGTGCACCTGAGCATCTCTACCCATGGTGGACACTAGCGCATGGTTAGGATAGAGAAGTCTAGAGGCACATGATGTCGGCCGATTGGCTGGGGGGTGCATGACATGGTTCCAGATGAAACGCATGGCATCGCATGGATCCACATTCCCCCGCCCAATACCAGACAACGGGCATATACCAGATGAATCCTAGCGGTCGCTGATGAAGCTTGGAAGCCATGTGTTATGTGCATGCTGAATTTCAATATTTAGGGATTATTAACATACGACTATAATTCAAGCGTCTATGTAAAGGTGTACAACATAATTTTCAAAAAAAAAGAAACATGACACGGGCACATGCAACTTGCCAACAAGGCACTTGTAGTACAAAAAGACAACATGTGCACGTATCCCACCATGCCTTCTACAATTTTTGTTCCATGTTTTTTCGCCACATATCTTTGGAAGGAAAAACAAAAGGATGTGATTTTCCCATAAAAAACCGTGATGGCGAGATGGTTGCAACCAACCAAGATAGATAGTGCGTGGAAGTTGTCCCTCGTGGGAAGATTGGATCGACCACTACTAGATTATAGGGCGAGGACACCCTGAATGTGAACGTGATCGTGAGAGGGTGAAGAAGGATTCGTTTTTTCGAGGGAAAGGAAGTAATTTTGTGGGTTTACAAAAAAGGAATGCACCCCTTTTTGAGGGACAAAAAAATGCACGTTATAATGTGTAACTAATGAAATTATAATTTAACAGAAACCTTGCTATTTTCAAGCAATTTAAAAACAACTTACTTGTTTTGGCAAAAAAATGTTGATAATGCGATAGTCCATTTTTTGGACACTTACGTGTAGTGGTGCATGTTGTGGAAATCGGGGTGGAAGTCTTGTGCTAAGATATTTTGCAGGGTGCGGCATATGAGTCTACATGGGGAATGGTTTGCTTGGGGGCTGGTGTAAGTGGTGTGGGTCTACTGCGTAAGTGATGCGCCACGTGAGTCTAGACGGTGGGGGTGCATGGTTTGGATCTAGCTACCTTGAGGTAACGCATCCAGTTTGCGCACTGAGTGTGGGCTCGTTCCTCCATTTTCATAGACGCTTTCTCTCGGGTAAACGGAGAACAATCCAAACGCGCATGCTAGGTCCCGGCCTTTCTTGGGTCCCGCGTGCCATATTCGGGACAGTTGCCGCATTTCTAGGGTAGTATCATCGGGAATTCACGATCTATACCGCGGCCACATGAAATCATAGCAGTGAATGGGGTAACAATCACATGTTAAGCTCTTTGGTCCATATGGGCCATGTGCCACCAAATAGAAGGGCCGCCTCGAAGTCATCTGCTTCAGAACTCTATGCCGCAAGATGTGGACCCTAGCAACCAAGGCTCGTCCCGTGTGCCGCACGCCAACTAGACCCACACCATGCATGCACTCGTGGCCAAGTAGACACTCACCGGTCAACCTTGACAATGTACACAAGACGCATGCGCACTCATTAGCCATCTAGCCCCCAGCCATGCACATCTAGCCAGCTTCACTCAAATCGTGCACGTTTGCCATGTTCACCCACACCATCCACCAATTATTGACCCCACCTCGGTTTGTGGGAGCTCTAACACGAGTCCCTTCCCTCGGCATGCTAGGTATGTCAAAGCAACATGCGACTACACAAATTGCACACCGAGATACGACGTCATTCACTAGTGCCAGCAAACCTGTGCACCTGAGCATCTCTACCCGTGGTGGAGACTAGCGCATGGTTAGGATCGAGAAGCCTAGCAGAACATGATGTCGGCCCGATTGGCTGGGGGTGCATGACATGGGTCCAGATGAAACGCATGGCATCACATGGATCCAAATTCCCCCGCCCAATACCAGACAACGGGCATATACCAGACGAATCCAAGCGGTCGTTGGCGAAGCTTGGAAGCCATGTGTTATGTGCATGCTGAATTTCAATATTTAGGAATTATTAACATACGAAAAAAATAATTCAAGCGTCTATGTAAAGGTGTACAACATAATTTTCAATAAAAAAAATGAAACATGACACGTGCACATGCAACTTGCCAACAAGTGCACTTGTAGTACAAAAAGACAACATGTGCACGTAACCCGCCATGCCTTCTATAATTTTTGTTCCATGTTTTTTCGCCACATATCTTTGGATGGAAAAACAAAAGGATGTGATTTTCCCATAAAAAACCGTGATGGCGAGATGGTTGCAACCAACCAAGATATATAGTGCGTGGAAGTTGTCCCCCGTGGGGAGATTGGATCGACCACTCCTAGATTATAGGGCGAGGCCACCGTGAACGTGAACGTGATCGTGAGAGGGTGAAGAAGGATTCGTTTTTTGAGGGAAAGGAAGTAATTTTTTGGGTTTACAGAAAAGGAATGCACCCCTTTTTGAGGGACAAAAAAATGCACGTTATAATGTGTAATTAATGAAATTATAATTTAACAGAAACCTTGCTATTTCCAAGAAATTTAAAAACAACTTACTTGTTTTGGCAAAAAAATGTTCATAATGCGATAGTTCATTTTTTGGACACTTACGTGTAGTGGTGCATGTTGTGGAAATCAGGGTGGAAGTCTTGTGCTAAGCTATTTTGCGGGGTGCGGCATATGAGTCTACATGGGGAATGGTTGGCTTGGGGGCAGGCGTAAGTGATCTGGGTCAAGTGTCTAAGTGGTGCACCACGTGGGTCTAGACGGCGGGGGTGAATGGTTTGGATCTAGCTACCTTGAGGTAACGTGTCCGGTTTGCACAATGAATGCGGGCCCGTTCCTCCATTTTCGTCCATGCTCTCTCTCGGGTCAACGGAGAACAATCCAAAAGTGCATGCAAGGTCCCGGCCTTTCTCGGAGCCCGCGCTTGCCATATTCGGGACATTTGCCGCATTTCTAGGGCAGTATCCTCAGAAATCCATGATCTATACTGCGGCCACATGAAATCACAATAGGGATTGGGAGTGACAGTTCCATGCTAAGCTCTGGTCCATATATGTGCCATGTGCGACCAATTGGAAGGGCTGCCTAAGAGCCATTGTTAAGGGCAAAAAATGCCGGGTCTCGTCTGCCGCCGCTATAATCCGTGCAAATTCATGAGGGATCCAAATTTCTTGGGACCTTTCACGGTGTGGGTGTGGTCGAACATCGAGAGCGGCACACATAAGCCTTCACATAGGTTGTGTGTAAACGAGACCAAAACGCATCCCGGAGCTAGCCATCAACAGGGAACATGTCCTGCTTGTGGACGAAGACCGGGGCCCGCCCCTTCATCTGCTTCAGAACTCTATGCTGCAAGTTGTGGGCCCTACCCACCAAGGCACATCTGGTGCGCCGCACGTAAACTGGACCCACACCATGCATGCACGCATGGGCACGTAGACAACCACCATTCAACCTTGACAATGTATAGATGACGCATGCGCACTCATTAGCCATCTAGCCCCCAGCCATGCAAACCTAGCCACCTAAACTCAAACCATGCACCATTAGCCAGGTTGACCCACACCATACATCCATCATTGATCCCACCGCAGTTTGTTGGACCTTAGACAAGTCCCTTCGGTATGGCAAGCACGCCAAAGAGACTCGCGGCTACACATATTGCACTCCGAGATCCGGCGTCATTCACTAGTGCAAGCAAACCTGTCCACATGAGCATCTCTGTGCATGGTGGACACTAGCTCGTTGTTTGGATCGAGAAGGCTAGCGGCGCATGTTTTGGCCCGGTTGGCTCGGGGTGCATGATATGGGTCCAGAGGAAACACATGGCATCGCGTGGATCAACATTCCCCTCCTCGGTACCGGACAACGGATATAAGGCAGACGAATCCGCGCGGTTGCTGACGAGGTTTTGTCACATCCATTTGCCATTCCATTGTTTGTAAAGTTTTACAACAAATTATAGGACAATATAAAACATGACATGTGCAGATGAAACAAGCCTACAAATTCAGTTGTCCCGTTGTATGATGTTGTTCTGTGTAATGAGGGAGGAGTTGCATTACGCAAGTTTTTTAGGGGAAGTTGCATTTCTCCTAAATCATGGGTGTGCACGATCGGGATATTCATTTTAGTGAGAAGTGAGAAGGTACGTTTTGACGTGCCAAGACGTGGTGGTGTGTATAATGCACGGGTAGGTGTGAACGTGGCAACAACTCCTTTTGACTGCCCAGGAATAAATCGGCGGCTCCGCTTCCCCATAGCACGCTCCGCTTCCCCATTAGCATTTATCTCATCGCCTCCCCCCTCTTCCCGTCCTCTTATCCATCCACAAATACAAGGGTTTTCTCCTCCCACGCCTCACCACCCTCCTGCCCATCCCGTTGCTGCTCCCTTCCCGCCGCTGCACCTCCGCCGTCGAGATGCCCAAGTGCACCATGGGAGGGAGGGCCGACGCCATGGTGCACGAAGCATCCAAGCGCCGAGCGAAGCTGCACATGGAGAAACCCCTCCCTGCCGGCGAGGTGTCCAGCCAGCAGCAGGGCAGCCTTGACGTCGTCGACCACGTCCAGGCTCCGGTGCAGGTGTCACCTACGCCAGAGCAGGTGGCTCCTTCGCCGGAGCAGGTGACTCATCTGCCATGCCATCTGCCACCTCTGCCACGCCATATGCCTCCTCTGCCATAGCCCGTGGTCAACGTCGACGGCGATGACGATGAAGAAGAGGTCAGTCCTATTTTAGGAAACATCCTAGGTTTCCTTGTTCAGTCCCTTATCTATTTTTGGGCATGGCTAGGGTTTCTGCTTTTCTTCCATCTATGAAATCCGTACCTAGATTCGTTAGATACGGTAGGTTTCAAGGGCGGATCCACATGGGCGCATGGGTGTGGGGGTCGGCTCCTCATTGTATAGGTTATCTTGTTTTTAAAATCTACCAACCACTCCGATCCATGGCTCTCGTGCATCCAAAATGTTTTGATGCCAAATTTTAAGATAGATCTACCAACCACCCGAAATTTCTTATATATGGTTCTTTTATTGCTAAATAGACTGAAAGTGGTGTAGTTTGTGCACTAAACTTCATGTCAATTTGTATAAAACTAGCCTCTCACGCTTAATCCAGCAGACACATTTTTTGCTGTTCAATTTGCTCAACACCAATTGCTTGGTTCCTGGAGTCCAATTACCATAGGCAGTAATATTTTAGACTTGTTATCATCCCTACTTGAAATATATTATTTGGTTGCTTATTTTCAGCATAATATTTTCTGCAAGTAAAGGATAACAACACCATGCCTTTTTTACGAAAATGTCATAGTAAATAATCTTCATTTTCTGTCATTCATGTGTGTACTGTCAGTATGATGGAAAAATAATATTTTCACATGAACATTTTAGATATCACTCCTAACTCTTTAATTTCTTGAGTAACAGAAGCAGAGGCAGAAGAATGCCTTCTGGACTCAAAAGCCAACTTGATCTCAGCCGTTTGAAAAATATTGATGTGGTTTTGGTTTGCAATATAAATTTTTGAACACCCAACTTTGAAATCCTGGATCCGAAGCTGTGTTGCTAGGTTGCATTAGTTTAGGCATGTATATGACATTTTTTGATCTATATAAAATATTCTGCTATTTATGTGGGACCAGGTAGCTTCTCTGGTTCCTCAGACGGAGTAGGTGTCTCCTCTGCCGCGGGTGACACCTCTTGTGCCCGAGCCTGTGGTCGTCGGCGGTGTCAACAAAGAATACGTTAGTCATCTATCTCCTTTATTTTTTTGTAAAATCCTAGGTGTGCTCTTGTTAGTCCTTTTGTCTATTTTTGGGGAAGTCCAGGGTTTCTTTTTATCTTTGATCGATGGACTCCATATCAATATTCTGTAGATGTGTTAGGTAACTAGCTAGGTTACATGTGTTGAGCCATGTATAGGCAATATTTTGATCTAGATAAATTATTCTGCTAATAAATCCACCTAGCAAGGTTTGGTGACTGTGCTAATACAAATACTTTAATACAAATACATATCTTGACCTTGGAATTGAATTGCCTACGTAGGTGATTGTGAAACTATTTTCTGCAACTTAAGGATAACAACACCATGCCTTGTTTATGAAAATGTCATATTCTATGGTCATGAAGTAAATAATCTTCATTTTCTCTCATTCATGTGTGTACTGTCAGTATGATGGAAAAATAATATTTTCACATGAACATTTTTGATATTACTCCTAACTCTTTAATTTCTTGAGTAACAGAAGCAGAGGCAGAACAATGCCTTCTGGACTCAAAAGCCAACTTGATCTCAGCCGTTTGAAAAATATTGTTGTGGTTTTGGTTTGCAATATAAATTTTTCAACACCCAACTTTGAAATCCTGGGTCCGAAGATGTGTTGCTAGGTTGCATTAGTTTAGGCATGTATATGACATTTTTTGATCTATATAAAATATTCTGCTATTTATGTGAGCAGGTGTCTCCTCTGCCGTGGGTGACGCCTCCTGTGCCCAAGCTTGTGGTCGTCGGCAATGTCAACAAAGAAGACATTAGTAATCTATCTCCTTTAATTTTTTGTAAAATCCTAGGTGTGCTCTGGTCAGTCCTTTTTTCTATTTTTGGGAAGTCCAGGGTTTCTTTTTATCTTTGATCGATGGACTCCATATCTATATTCCATAGATGTGTTAGGTAACTAGCTAGGTTACATGTGTTGAGCCCTGTATAGGCAATATTTTTATCTAGATAAATTATTCTCCTAATAAATCCACCTAGTTTTGGTGACTGTGCTAATACAAATACGTTAATACAAAAACGTAGCTTGACCGTGGAATTGAATTGCCTACGTAGGTGATTGTGAAAATATTTTTTGCAACTTAAGGATAACAACACCATGCCTTGTTTATGAAAAATGTCATATTCTATGGTCATGAAGTAAATAATCTTCATTTTCTGTCATTCATATCAGTACTGTCATTACGATGGACAAAGAATCTTTTCACATGAAAATTTTAGATATTACTCCCTCCATTTGAAAAATATTGTTGTGGTTTTAGTTTGCAATATAAATTTTTGAACACCCAAGTATGAAATCCTGGATCCGTAGCTGTGTAGCTAGATTACATTTATTGAGGCATGTATATGTCAGTTTTTGACCTATATAAATTATTCTGCTAATAATCTGGAACAGGTAGCTCCTCTGGCTTCTCTGCCGGAGCAGGTGGTGGCTCCTCAGCCTCAGTCGGGTGTTCATCTGCCGCGGTTGTTGCCTCCCCTGCCCCCACCTGTGGTCGTCGCCGACGAGAACGAAGAAGAGGTTAGTCATCTATCCCCTTTATTTATTTATTTGTTTGTTTGTTTATTTTTTAATATCCTAGGTTTTCCCTGGTCTGTACAAGGCAAATAAGGTATTAAAATGTTGAGTGCATGTTTGGTTGCACTTGATCAATCTTTGGTTTAAATGTTCCATAAGTGGCTGTGGCAATGATTTTAAACTTTGATTATCTCTAAGCAATGGCTATTTTAGAAAGAAATTGGATATCATCAATGTTTTACTTGAGTTGTTTTAATTAGTTCTTTTGTAGGGTTTTTATCATTTATGCCACCAGTTGTATCCCACTACTATCCCACTACTCAGCTTTACCCTTAGAAGTTACAGCCACTCAAAAATGACATCGGTTCGTGAGATGCTTACTCAAAAAATGCCATTAGATGTATCAAAAATGCCATCGTTCCGTTAGATGTTTGCTCAATAATGCCATTAGACATTGTTATTTTCATGTAAAACTTGTTGACCATCCAGTATGACAAAAAAAGCCCAGGCCCACATTTCAGTTCTCTCTATCTCACAATGATAAGTGTGGCCACTTGCGAGGAGTAAGTAAGTGAATAATTTTACAGGTGGGCCCAAGTGGGCCCACACTTTATTGTAGTGAGATAGAGGGAGAGCTGGCATGTTGGTCCATAGGTATTGATTCCATTATAGCATGTCAAGATAGATTTGATATCACAGTAATGATGTGCAGTGGCATTTTTGAGCATGTGTCTAACGAAGCGATGGCTTTTTTTAGCAGTAGAAATTCCTAGTGGTGATACTTAGTTGTGGGACACAACTGGTGGCATAAATGATAAAAACCCTTTTTTGTAAGTACAACATTTGGGATCACTTATTGTCAGAATTCATAATAATTAACTACTTTACCTAGAACGTTGAATGGTTCAGGAACATTGATGGGTGGGGAATCGATCAACAGGGGAAACTTCCACGACGATAACATGGGGACTTTCAATATCCATCATCATAAGCACACAAAATTCTAACCCTAAATAAATACAGCTCACGAGCTATTTTATCTAGTCATGCATGTAAGCTATATGTGTTTTTTTTTGCATTTGTACATCTGTATGCTGCTCTGCCATGTTACATCACCAGTTCATGCATTTTTATGTAACAAGTGAATTTTGTTGCACTAAAGGGTTGTTTGGTTTGTGACTAACTTTGCCAAAGATTGCCATACCCAAGGTTAGGCAGGTTTGACCAACTTAAGTGAGTGTTTGGTTCCAGCCACACCTTAGGCAAGCCACACTTGGGTTCCACATGGCATACACACAATAAGTGCGGCAAGGTTCCTTAGGCTTGCCAACTTGTGGCATTCATTTTTATGAACTAACCATAGGCAAGCTTGGGAAAAATGTGTGGCAAAATGTGGCAATGCTAGAGCTCTCTTCGACATGTATGGTTGATCCTTCATTTTTTTTGCTATATGGTACTATCCCATTTAGTTTCTTATGTAGCAACTAATAAGTTATGCATTTATTTTTTCAACGTCATTTGAAGATATTTTACGCTGTCATCAATTGCATTATGTTTCATAGAGGTCCTAAGTGACGACGTTAACAGCGACCCAGAAACCCAGAGGATCTTCAGGAGGCAAAAATTGAAGCAGCTGAACAGTGGTGAGCTCGAGAAAGCTGTGAGGCCTAGATTCGGAAAGGGCTACGGACGCCCTTACTGCAACAAGGTGATGAAAGGCGACCTGTCGAGTACCATCAACCATGCAATCGGAACATCCCAAGGCAGCATCAAGAATGGCTACGCTTTCAGGGTGAAGCACGCCGCGTATGCCGACTACTTGATTAGGCTTCTTTGAGGATTTAGGGAAGTGCGCACCCACGCAGCTAGAACTGATGCTCTTTTGGTTGTAACTATGCTAGGTACAACCGTATGCTATACTTCGTTGGTGAACGTTTATGGTTGAACTATGTGCACCAGTACTACTAAGTGGTGCTTGCTTTTGTATGTATGTGTATATATATATATATATATATATATATATATATATATATATATATATATATATATATATATATATATGCATGGAAGCGTTGAACTAAGGTAGAACTATGCTAAGTGGTGTGTTTTTGGCATCTCTGCTTGTTAAACTCGTGCTCATTAATCATCGGCTCATTTAGATTTAGTAGCATAAAACCCTGATTGGCTAGGTTCGTTTGAAGCTAGTTAAGCTTGTGAGCGCTCGTTAACAGATTTTGATGTGTTATGGCCTTCCAAATAGAGTGTGTACATGTGGTTTTCAAGAAGGAAGATGGTGACCCAAAAAGGAAATGCACTAGTTTGTTGCCTAAGGTGTTGATCCAAGTAATAATAGAACCATCGTGTTGTGGCGTGGCTACATGATGA